CAGTTCAAGTCTATTCCACAGACGTTAATCACATTCGACTCATCGATTTGTGATAATGGCAAAGATCCTCTCATATCCATAAGTGCTACAAGTCCCTTTACCAATTTCCAAAAAAAGTAGATCATGCGCAAGTTTACTAATAAGAATCCGAGATATCGATGTGCAGTAATAATGTAGCGGACAGCCCACATTGCTGCCCGGCGTCCGCGCTCGATGCCCACGGCCTAAAGGTCACGCAACTTCGTAGCGAGCGCTTTCCGACTCCCTGACCTGCAGCCTCTTGACCGACTCGCTCCCTCCCTCAGGCATGACTGGACGCAGTTAACACTAGTATTGGCTTCGGCAGTGGCCACTATCGCCTAAGACAGCAAATCAGAGTCCTCTGCACAATGAAGCCCTCTTGCTGGCGACTTCTGCTCTTCGAACAAACACTGCTTAGACTCCTACGGTAGTTAAAAACAACCATTGACTCCGGTTTATTTACAGAAGCTATTAGTAGATTGATGCTAAAAGAGCAAAATTCGCATTTCCTTTAATATATCATTTCTGTAGTGAATTTTTTTGGCTCGATTAACCAGTTCTCCCATTTATACAGCAATATAACCATCTTCCTCCAGATCTTTCCCTGAAAGGCAGTCAATGGCGTTGCCACGACGTCTGAATTTGGAAGGTTATGCAAGAAAACACGGTGAACGCATAAAATTGTTAACTAGAAGAAGCAAAAGGTCAGTAACAAAAAACAGACACAATAGTCGAGAATATAAAAAGCAGAAAATGCAGCCTTTCAAAGTCAGAGTTTACGCATCTCGTCCTCCAGAGTATACATTAGGGCTTTGAGATTTTTCAGGTCATTTAGCAGGAACTTTGATCGGGTCGACGTTTGCCGAACATTTTCAAGGATTCTCAGGTCGAATTTGTCCAGAGATTTCGCACGGCAGTCGGAATCCTTTGCACAGCCCAATGTCATCTTGGAAAAAGACAAAATTGTATTCACTCGACTCTCACCATGAAGGGACTTTTAAGACCAATACAGCTAACTATGGACTGTCCATTAATTTATTCAAGCCAGTCAGACGATTATACAAATAAGACGGAATGACTAGGTGGAGCACAGAGCTACGCATCTAGTCTACGTGTGCTACGTGTGCAACCTGGTTCATAGCTCCACACAAATAAAGTTTCATAGGACTGGAATCATGAAATAGCTAAGTGACGTCCTACAGTAAGTGGAGGCAGGAGTCAGTGGAGAAAATGGCTAGTCAATTGCTATGACGACTGGCATACGCCTTGGATTATTGCGTCTCAGTACGCTATCCATTTCTCCTATCACCTTCCCCTCTCGCCACAATTAGTTCTTTGATTTAGACGGTGCTTCTATCAATTCGTGATAATGCTCTCATAAAAGGAAGGAATTTGGGATCC